GTGTGTGTGTGTGTGTGTGTGTGTGTGTGTGTGTGTGTGTGTGTGTGATTGCTGCTCCTGAGATGAGTTTCTACCACATCATTGAGAGACCAGGACTGTGTGGGTTTTGGTTCATTCATCTGTTTAGGAGAGATGCACAATATAGAAATTTTAGCTCATACTGCTGATACATCTTTTGTAATAACAGATATAATAGCTGAGATTATGATCTGTACGATGGTGTCTGTTGATTAAATAACAGTACTCCAATCTAGGATTTTATATGATTCTTGTAAAATTAGGAATCAAAACAAAAATGAAAATTCAGCTTTGCCATCACAAGATTAATTTACATTTTAGAATATAATTAGAATAGAAAATGTATTTGAATATGAAGATATTACTGTTTTACTGAGCATGAGACTTTTTTCAAAGACATTATACTCTTTCTTCTTTTTATTAACAGGTTTAAATTTGATTTTGAACTCCAGATTTTCCATATATGAATATGTAAAAATGTATGTAAAGAACAAATTGTGGTATCGTCTGCTTCCAATATCTTTCTAATCACACCAGTCAGGATAATAGAAAAATGCAGATATTTGCCAGTATAGTCATCGGTCACCAATACCGCTGTTTTTATTGTATAGGAAGTCAGGTGTAGTGGAAGTGAATGGGTGTTAGTGAAGGACCAAGATTATTTAGCAGAGAAAGGCAGACAGCAAGCAGCAGCGTGAGCGAATCACACCAGTCAGGATAATAGAAAAATGCAGATATTTGCCAGTATAGTCATCGGTCACCAATACCGCTGTTTTTATTGGTTTTTATTTGGAAGTCAGGTGTAGTGGAAGTGAATGGGTGTTAGTGAAGGACCAAGATTATTTAGCAGAGAAAGGCAGACAGCAAGCAGCAGCGTGAGCACTACCACTGCTGTGTGTGATGAGGTGTAATGAACAGTCATGACCTCAGTGCTACTGTGAGTTAAAGAGGCCTTGAGCATCCCTAGACCCCTCTAATCCTTCCCTCAGACCCACTCTGAAAAAGGCAGGCAGCCAGGGAAAACACTCTCTCTCTCTCTCTCTCTCTCTCTCTCTCTCACACACACACACACACACACACGCTCACGCTCATGTATTCCTGTTGTATCGGCGCATGGTTTCTGGGACAGTCAGTGGAGCAGCTCTCATGCCAGACCCCGCAGCGATCCTCTCTCACAGGGAGGTCAGAGACGGGTCACGGTTAAATCGGAAACAAAAATCTCCCAAAAACCAGCTCAAAAAGTCCTTACCTAAGCTGTAAGTGTTTATCGGTGCACATAATTCATGCATGTGTTTATAAACAGGCTGCTTGTTATCACTAAATGAATGTTATCCCATGCAATTAAATCAACCTAGCAATGCTTAAGGGGATAGTCCACCCAAAAAATGTTTCATCATTTACTCACCCTCATGTCATTCCAAACCTGTAAGACTTACTTTTCTTCTGCAGAACATAAAAGACGACATTTTCAAGAACATCGGTAATCAGTTTTCATTCCTGTTGACTTCCATAAAAGATATTTTGAAGAATGTTGCTAACCAAACAGTTTCAAGTCCCATTGGCATTTATAAGAAGATATTTTGAAGAATGTTGGTAACCAAACCATTTCTGTTCCCATTGACATCTGTAAGAAGATATTTTGAAGAATGTTGATAACCAACATTGACTGTGTTAGGAAGATATTTGAAAAAATGTTGCTAGCCAAACAGTTTCAAGTTCCATTGACATCTATAAGAATATATTTTGAAGAATGTTGGGAACCATACCATTTCTGTTCCCATTGTCTTCTATAAGAAGATATTTTGAAGATTGTTGATAACCAACATTGACTTTGTTAGGAAGATATTTGAAAGAATGTTGCTAGCCAAACAGTTTCAAGTCCCATTGACATCTATAAGAAGATATTTTGAAGAATGTTGATAACCAAACAATTTCAGCTCTCATTGACTTTTATATGAAGATATTTTGAAGAATGCTGCTAACTAACAGTTTCTTTTCCCATTGACTTCTATAAGAAGATATTTTGAAGAATGTTGGTAACCAAATAGTTTCGGGTTCCCACAGACCTCCATTGTGTGAACAAAAATTAAAAAGGAAGTCAATGGGGCCCAAAGAAGTTTAGTTACCAACATTCCTCAAAATATCTTCTTTTGTATTCTGCAGAAGAAAGTAAGTCATAAAGATTTGTATCGACATGAAGATAAGTAAATGATGACAGAATTTTCATTTTTGGATGGATTATTCCTTTTTATTCTTTAGCATATTTTGTGCATTTTGGCCACTTTTATTCATACAGACGGTAGAGAAAAAAAAAATTTGTACTGAAAAAATTGGCCAGCTGCATTTGTGTATCAGAGCATCTTTACTAACTGCTATAGGCCACTTGTCAGACTCTGACTGTGCTGTATCTCTTTCAGTTGTGGTATTTTTGTTGGCGTGGGTGGGTCAGCGTTGCACCCTGGGCAGCTGTGTTGTTCTGCAGCTGCGGTCTGTGTGGCAGTTCTGATCATCAGCGAGGAGATTTCCGGTTGTGCTGGATGGATGGTTTCCTCAGCCGCTCTGAAACCAACGGGAGGGCTTGTCTGAGGTCTGAGCGCTGGCCAAAGGTCAAGAGGCGGTAATAAGTGCGGGTCACAGCCACATACACAGACTCCACGGGGCGGTGAAAAAACTACTGAAACAGCCTCTTCTGCCGCCTCCCTCATAAGATTATTTTCTTCTTTTGTTTAGTCACTGAACTTCAAAGACGATCCATTGACATCAGTATGTTTAGCATAGAAATGTATGCATATGTTTACTGTAAAGTCAAATAGTGTTCACAAATAAATATTGTTGCCCTGTTGCTTTGTTAACACTGCTCCCGAGTGGTCGAGAAGAGCTATTGCAGCTGTCCTGCGGCCGTCATTCAGAGTGTATGAATTCTGTCAAACTAACTGCCCCTTTAGAGCCTGAGAATGGAGATTGAATGGCTCTCTGTTGATAGCCATGCTAGTAAGTGGCAGGTTATTATCTTCTCAAAGGTGTTGGAAGTGATTTTTATATATATCGCTGTTTTGAGATCCTTCCCCAATGAGGCAGGACTGCAGTGTGACTGTGATTGGATGAACACTTCTGTAGGGACACTAATATAGATGCACAGGACCCACAATGCCATATGTTTCGCATTCAGGCTTGTTGTTCAGGTAGGGAGAGGAAAAGAAGCAAAGCTCCTTTGTTGTTTGTTAGTTATTAGTCATATAGTCTCATGTTCCTTACAGAACCATTTTGTACTTGAGCTCAATGGCCTGTTGATCATTAATGAACACTAATGGAAGCTCTGTGCAGTAGTTATATGGAGTAAACAGTTTAATGGGTTTAATGTGACACATTTCGTGGAAATATTTCCGCAGCACGTAATGTGCACGAACAGCGATGCGTTCTAAACTAATTTTACTTGTTATGAAGAAAATGTCTGTGGTGTTTGCTCATGCAAAACTTGTCATCATAGTACAAGGGCCTTGCTATGCGTTTGCTAAAATGATCTTTGTTGTTTTTCTTTATTAAAACTTGTGTACATTATTTTTTAAACCTAATGCAATCTTTTATTTGATTTAGTGGTATTGGTCAATATTGAATTTTGCATTCTCATTCTCCTTAATGTTATATTTGTACACATTTTAACTAATCATTTAATAACTTAAATGTAACCTCTAGCAAGTCTCAGAATGAATATTCATTTTTCATACTTGCATTATAATGTTGTGATTCTTAAATTCACATTTTTTTTTTGCATTTTATATTTTAGTGAACTTATTTTTTAATTCAATTTTTATTGTTATAAAAATAACACAATTTTGGCATCTATATTAAAACATTTTAAATATAAAATATTTAGAGTAAAATATATCAGTTATATGAAAATAATTATCTAGTTATCAGTATTTAGATATTAGTACATCCATATTCGTAGTGATTAGGATTTTCTGTTTTGATTGTTCAATGTCCCTCGGTGCTGTTGAGCTTGTATGGTTGGTGTTATAACTTTTTTAGCCTAAAATATGAATTTGCAGACATTTTTCTTCAAAATGATGGAAGTTAATCTATAGAATTTTGCCATGTTTTGTCGAGAACTTTCTGCTTGCAGTAACGGTTGTTTGATTCTCATAAAACTATTCAATTTTTCATTGAACTCTACACACTAGCTTTGGATTTCCTCACCAGTATTTAGTACCTAGTGAATGAGTGTGATTGAGTTTGTGTCTTGAGTGTTAGTCGTGTGTGTTACTTTGTGCAAGGGCTTCGGCAGCAGCAGGCCTCGCTGGAAGGCCGTCTGTGCATCTCTCATCTCCCTCTTCTCTCTTAAAGGGGCCTCCCGGCTCGCAGCCATCACCACACGCACAGCCTCCCCCACACAATACCAGCAACCCCATGATGGGACCACACGGCCAGGTAAGACACACAGCAACCCTCACACACACATACACACCGTGTCCTTGCTCGCACACTCAGTATACACACGGTCACACTTGCACACATGAGAACTGTTGGTGACATTAGCAGCAACTCACTTGGGCAAGATGAACGGTGTAAATTACATGGTTATTTATAATTCTCTGCAAGTCCTCTTCCTTTACACAGACATAGAAACACACATTCCTAGAACTAGTTGCAGAGTTTTACTTGACCATCCTATGGACTTTAGTCAGGGATGATTCCATATTTAAAGGGATATTTCAGTCAAAAATAAAAGTTAATTTCAATTTCATGTTTCACGTTGTTCTAAATCAGTGTGACTTTCTATCTGTGGATCACAAAAGTAGAAATTTTGCTGGCCAATATTTCCATGGAATTGTAATAAAAGGGGACTGAAGTTTCAAAAAGAACAAACAAGCAACATAGAAGTATGACAAAAGTGAGCCATTTGACTCTTTTGTTATATTTGAACTATTCTGACTTTAGATTTGATTAAGAAAAAAATATATAGCAATTAAGTCGTTATTGACTGAAAATCTTAATATATGCCCTAATGTTCATAAAAGAAATACCAATATCTGATTCATGAATAAATCCTTTTGAATCTGACACTATTGTCTTGCAGCAGCTGCTTTATAACAGAATTTGGATTTGCCTTAGTTTCTGAAGTTTGCATCATTGATTTTATTACTTTCCTTTTTAATACTGTGAAGATGCTTTGAAACAACCTCTACTGTATAAAGTGCTTTAAAAATCAAAGGTGACTTGACTTAAATCTGATCTTTTCAAAGAATCAGTTAATCTAGTTCATAAAACTGGACTGAATAATTTGTTCATGAATTGGGCTGGTCTGATTCTTGAGACTTTTCAGGATTTTTTGTTGAATAGAAAATTCAAAAGAACAGCATTTATTTGAAACCTTTTGAATTGTTCTGTAACATTATTGTCTTTACTGCTATTATTAACTATTAATATACATACATGTCTTTACTATCACCTTTTTGGTGCTTGAAAGCTTCGTTCTGCATTCATTAAAATTGTATGGAAAGGAGCAGCCAGCACAGTATTCAGAATATCTACTTTTGTGATGCACAGAAAAAGAAAGTCATAGAGGTTTGTAATGATAATGATGATAAAAAAATGTAATTTTTAGATTGAAAAAATATATATATATATATATATATATATATATATATAATTTTTTTTTCTTTTTTTTTTTTCTTTCTTCTCTTACAACTGAAAGCTAGGCTGTGAGGAATAGAAGTACAATTCAATAGGTTGTACTCTTGTGTCTCTCATTTAGCCAAATCTGGAAAACATATGGTTGTGAAAATTATATTAGGACTGTAAATCCATCCCTCATGGCCTTGTTTTCTTTGGGTGTACCCTAAGGTCCATTCCTCCTTTGTCTTCTCTTTCTTTTTTTTTCTTCCTCCCTGTTTCTCTATCCTGGGAGTGTGAAGTATCCTGTATACCCCCCACCCCCTCCATCTAGAGTCGACTCCCTGCGAACAGGATAAATAATTCAGTCTCCTCCTTGTTCTTGGAGATGGGCCTCCACTCCTAGCCCTCACCCCACCCCCCATCAATAGCACATTAATATTGTAGAGTCTCCCGCCACACAGTGCCCTCACAAACACATATACAAACGCACACTGACTGTGCAGAAACCAAAACGATGTGCGCCCACAAAACACAGTGAAACCTACACATATCAACTCTCAAAGACACTTCAGCTTCCTTTCTCCAGGAAAAAACAGGTTTTTTCACAGCGCTACAGTTGTACAACATCTTCCTACAATGGTAAAGACACTCCAATTAGCTGTAAAAACACATGCGCGCACACACACCCACATATGGCCTATCCCTCATCCGTTCAGCACCGACATGTTGCAACAGAGCCCTAAAAGTTGGCGAGATTCTCTCGGGGAGCTTCCCACAGGCCTTGACCACAGAAGTGGCATCGGGTTTCGTCTCTAGACACGCAGCCACAAGGCTCTAATGGTTTGTATGTCAGAACACAGGCACGATACTGCCCTCGTTTGGGTTGTTGTGGTCACTTTCCTTCCTGACCAGACTTTCACTTGAGAAGCGTCTAAGTGCAGCCGCACAAGTTCTGACTTTCCTGATGCTCTCCTGTGTGTTCGTCGAAACACCACAAGGGTGTATGTGTGTGCACGTTTATAAGGCGGAACGTGAGCAGACTGTGTTGACGAACAGAAGGAGAGATGTCAAATGTACATATTTGATGTCGTCTTGCGTTGGCTTCTGCTCTCCGTGCATCTGTCTGTCCATTCCATCTGCTATAGCCTGGCCTGCTGCACTCATTCATTCTGGTCTTTACAATGCTCTCGCTTTCTTCTTAAATAAAGCAACATGTTGCTAATGAAGTCTTTTTTCTTTTCTTTTTCTTCTTTTAGCCTTTTATGTCTCCACGGTACCCTGGTGGACCTCGGCCATCTCTTCGCATGCCAAATCAGGTAGAGGGAACATCACACTGTCATGTTGAAATTGCATACAAATAGTTCTTCCATTTTTACACACTCTTAAAGGGATAGTACACCCAAAAATGTTGTCATCATTTACTCACCCTCATGTTGTTCCAAACTTGTATGAGTTTCTTTCTTATGCTGAACGTAAAAGAAGATATTGCTGGTAATCAAACTATTGATGGTCCCCATTGACTTCTATAGTATTTCTGTCTATTTCATCCTACTATGGATGTCAACGACAGTTTGTTTCTTCAAAATTCGTTCAAATATCTTCTGTTTTCAACATTAGAAAGAAACGTACACAGGTTTGGAACGACGTGAGGGTGAGTAAATGTTGACAAAATTTTAATTTTTGGGTGAACTATTCCTTTAAGGGTCACCAAAATCAAGAAAAACCTGGAAACATCAGGGTATTTTAATAAAGGTCATGGAATTTCAATTCTGATTAATTTTTGTTGTTGTTGTTGTTATGCATGGCTCTAAAATATTTGATTTGCTAGAAATAGAAATTTGTGAGCGTTATCTAGCGTGAAATAAAACTAAAATGATGATTTTTTTTTTGTTAATTGAAAATAACACTGAAGTGAATATAAAATATAAATAGATAAAAAAACTGAATTGAAAATTAGAAATGTTGGCAAATATGGCAACTAACTGAAATTTAAAAGTTGAAGTACTAAAATAGAAATACTAAAGCTAAATAGAAATAATAAAGCTGCATACATAGGCATGTGACTGACATTCATACATGCCTATGATTGCCCAAAATGCTAATCTAAAATTATTTTATTTGCAAATCACATGTTGTATGTGTGTAAATAGATTTGCATTCTATTTACATTAATTTTATTCATTATAAATTAAATGATTTCTGACTGTTACATCAAAGCCAGCGTGTGATATTTCTGGTCTATGGTGTTCTAATATAAAGTCATTGTTATCACCAAAGTACTGTAGCAATACTTGATATTATGTGTAAAGATTTTCAAGGCATGTTGTGTAAAAGGTTATGGAATTTATATTTTTATACCAGTGGACTGCCACTGAAAATAAAGGACAAAAGGAATTTGTTCCTTTGTTCCATTTGTTTCCATTTGTTCCTCACCTCCATTGTAAACATGATGCATGTTTTCTATAAAACACGTCTCATGTATTTCGATGACCTTCCTTCTTTTATGTCCTTTTCAGCCTCCTGTAGGAGTTCCAGGATCACAACCACTCCTGCCAAACAGTTTGGACCCAATCAGACCACAAGGTAACATCTTGGTCCAAAACTTAATAACAACAGAGCCATTTACATGCAGACTGATGAATGATGTAGTATCAGCTCAGCTGTGTAATAACTCTTATCTAATATTTTTACAGGACATCCTAACATGGGCGGTCCGATGAGAATGAATCCTCCCAGGGGGATGGGTGGCATGGGCCCTCAGGTAGACACATATTCTTGCTTGTTTATCCTCTGGTAGTCGTCCCAAGTCAAACGCCACAGGACTGGAACCCTGTTACTCCTCTTCAGTCACCTGTGCTGAAAGCAGAGTTCTCTCCGCTTCTCTATCTCTCTCTTTGTCCTTCTCGTTCATGGCAAGCAAGGTGCCGCACAAATCGGCAGCTGGTGCAGCATCTGTTCGACAAATTGGGTAGAGCGCAGAACAAAAGCTCGGGTTAGAAAGAAGCAGCCTCAGGCCTGAAAGCCTCTGTCACACTTTGCCCTCCACCCACAGGCAGCCAGACAGGTGGGCCGCCGTCTGCCTGAGCAGAACTTCGTTAGCATAGTGTCAATCGCATCCCCACCACTGCGGACAACAGTGGATGAAGGGCAGGGATTCCTGCAATGTGTAGTTGCTGCATTTTTAGCCACACAGCAGAAGAAAAAAAAATTCATATTTTTTCCCCAAATTGTGAACTTACTAGCACAAAATAATGCCAAGACAACGCATCTTTTCAATTCAATGTGCAATTATTTATTTGTTTATTTTAATACATTTATTATTATTATACATTTTTAAAAATATTTTTAAATTTACATTTATATATTTAATACATATTTATATAATATGTTAAAGAGCAGGTCATATGGTATTTTAAAGTGTCCTAATATTGTGTTGGAGTCCCCTACAACAGGTTTAAATGCATCTAAGGTCAGAAAACATTGTAATTTTCTCAGAATATACATTTAATATTAGAGTCATTTGCCAATGAATTCGAAACGATTCGTTCCAAGCAAGTTCGGAGCAAACCCCTCCCTTCCATAAGCCTACTCTGCTCTGATTGGTCAGCTGTCCAGGCCTGCTGTGATTGGCACAGGGAGGAGTCCTTGAGCAAGTTAGCGAGCGCTACCATTGACAAAGCACCTTTACATGAAACAATAATATAGTGCTCCAATCCGTTCTTATAATAATGACATAAAATACAAATGCAAGCGAATCGTGCCCACAGCTAAAGTTTAGCTGCTAAACTGTGAACACTTAAAACAATAATTGTGGATACGTTAGCCGAGTGCTAACATGACTAACTGATGAAACAATACAGTTTGTAAACCAAAATATGTCTACTGTAATGTTTGAAGAA